GCACTGACGGAGAGAGAAAAACAAAGTTAATGTTTCTGAACTTTATCAGTACTCTGTTTTCACTGACACATGCTGCCAGACCGGCTGAGTTTCTGCAGCAAATTCTGGTGTTGTTTCAGATTTCTGGCATCCGCAGTTCTTTACGTTAGTCATTTAAACAATTTAGAAACACCTTCAAGGTTACTGACCAGGTAAGTATTCTGTTTGGGGAACGTTTTCCTGATCCCATTTACAACTCGGCATTGTGAGGGGAAGAAAATTGATGGAGTGGAAACAGACAACTCTGTCCCTGAGTGGTCTTGAACCACAAACTTTTCAGTTAATAGCTAAGCACACTAACCAATTGCACCACAGAGACGAGCAGTTAGTTAGCTTGCACCATCCCCTAAAGTGAGTTCAACCTTTGGACTGCCCCTCCTGGAATGACAATTGTCTTTGATCAGTTTTACTTTTCCAAGACAAAGGCTGGGACATTCATTATGGAGACATGGAATCAGTCTGATCCTACCCACTGCAGACATCTCCATGTCACCAGGAGTTAATTCTCCTACAACTGGTGCCCTCTCGCTTTGAGCCTTTCAGTGTCTTGTCTGTTCTCAAGTTTTTTCATTGTCAGGAAGCAGGGATGGGTTTTGAATTCCTGATGTGCAGGAAATGAGAATCCTTTCACTGTCTCAGATCAGTTAATATTGCCCACCCCTACCCCCGTGGAAAGAGAATCAGAGTTAACGTTTTGAGTCTGTGAGGATTCTTGTTCAGAACTTGAGTTTCCTGCATGTCAACAAATAAACAGATCTGTGAAAAATGTGGGTTTGTTGAGACAACTTTTCTGGAGTTTGAGCAATAACTGATCCCAGCAGGAAGACATTTAAAATCTGCATGAACACAAAATGCAGTCATCAGGAACCTGCATGGGAAACCTCAAGGGATTTCTAACCCATCGCCTTAACCACTCGGCCACGATTACAGGCCCTGAAATGGACTTTAATATTTCTCATGGTATGGTTCCAGGAGGACAGCTTGTCCTGTCCATGCCACGGCCCTAACATTTTGCGTCACCCTGCAATTGTCCACCCTGTAGGTGGACTACCTACATTCACCTTTACTGGTTCCATCCCCGCCTCCTTGACCTGTCCGTCTTCTTTCCACCTATCTGCTCCTTTATCCACCTTCCATCATCGTCTCCCCCTCTATTTATTTCAGAGTCTCCGTCCCCTCCCCCAAGGGTCCAGACCCGAAACATCAACTTTCCTGCTCCTCTGATGCTACCTGGCCTCAGTGTTCATCCAGGTCTACACCTTGTTATCTCAGATTCTCCAGCATTGGTAGTTCCTACTAACACTTACCCATGAGATGGATTTTTCTTATTAGAAACCTAACTTTAGTAGTAATATAACGAACTGGGAGAAATGACGAGTTGAGGCCAGGTGCAGATTAGCTCTGATCTAGTTGAATGGTGGGTCAGGTTTGAGGGGCTGAATGTACTCGTCCTGCTGCTATTTCTGACGCTCTGATGTTGTCCCCAGACAGGACAGACTGCACCTTGTCCTAATGAGGGACATTTGCGCAAGCGCAGTGGCCTCGGTGATTTGAGCATGGGCTGTATATTGCCGGACTGACGCATGCGCTCTGTGTGGGCTTACGCTCGGGGCATGTGAACATATTGGCTCCGCAACCGGTGAGAAAAAAACAGATTTAGGAGAGTCATGGAGAGGACTTTGTCGGCGGGAAGGCTTCATAAACATACAGTGGAAACATGAAACCCTAAGAAGGACATTCCCTGTTCCGTCTTGACAGCTAACAGGGCGGAAGCTGCGAGGCAGCATCTCTCGGCGAAAGGCCACGAATAACGGCCACCATCTTTGTCAGAAGAACGGGTCATCGGGGCGCATGCGTATTCATCCTGGACCAGGAGAGAATGTTGTGAATGTCTGTCTTGGACTGACAGGGATGGAGTTTATAAATTCATTTTACAGGCGGTGTGGAGGGGAGCATTTACACGCAGCAAACTCACACCAAGCGAAATGAAAGACAGACAGAAAGTGTACGAAATCTCAGTCGTGGTAGTGTCAAGGATGGAAAAACGGCTTCAACGTTTTGCATGACAAAGAGGAGTAACTGGACTGGAAATGTTAATTCTCATGAAACCTTGACAGATGGTGCTGGACATGTTAAGTTTCTGCAGCATTTTATCTTTTCATTTCAGTTTTCTGGCATTTGCAGTATTTGATTTTATTCAAGAGGAATGTTTGTCTCATCTGAACTTCTATTTTGAACTCACCCTGCAGTTTTTGTAAGCTTTATTTTACAGAATATTAGAAGCATTGTATCAATGGCTGTGGAGGTCAAATCAAACGTAAAATCAAGATCTGAAAGAGTCACTTAATTCATCAGGATCTGGTTATCATCAAGCGATGAATTTGGTAGGAAAAGATTTGACATTTCTAATTGTGGGCAAAGATTTCAGCTGAGTGTGAGAGTAATTAATTGGTTAAAAAGCCAATGTCAATAAGGTATGAATGGATCTGACTCAGATAAATTGGAATCAGAACTGAACAATTATCTGCCTTTAAAGAGGAAATACTACTGGCACAGTTATGGTACATACTTTGCTAGTGTTGCATAAGATGGTTGGCCTTCAAAGGTTAACTCAGAACCTATGGTATAGTCCTGCGCACTGAGATATAGATGACTGTCTCTGGACAGTGCTAGGCAGGTTCATGTTTCTTGTTCAGTTTTTCGTTTATTTTACAAAACCATGTAGCCCTGACCGACAGGATGTCTCAAGAAATAACAAAGCCTCTTAGCAAGCGTCACTGTTTAACCTGTTATTTTACAGTTATAAAACAAATTACCTTTGTTACTTAAGTAACTCCTCTTCTGCCAAAGACTTATTAGTTCATCACTAAATGTTAGCAAGTAGAATAGTTTGGAAGGAGGGTTAGTGTTAGCATATCTAAACAAAGACAATCCTCAGAGAACCAAGTGTCAGCTGCAGGCATAAATTACAACACCCACAAAGGAGAATGTTAGAGAAAACAAATCCAGAGCACCCACAATGGCAAAGTAAAGAAATTAAGATAAAGGAGGAAAGAGTGCTTGTGACAGATGTTAAGTTGCCACTGCAACTAAAACCAGGTGGAATTTGGAAGGTTCAGGGGGAACTGAATGAGCAAATAACAGAGGCAAAGAGACAGGATGAGCAGAAAATGGAAGGAAAAATAGAAGGCTTATCGATTCAGGTTTGTCAGCATCTCAATTGTAAATATGGTAAATGAGAAGTGAAGCTAATTAGGAATTGAAAAGTAGATGCACAGCTGGAGGCAGACAGATAGCTGCTATATTAAATCTAGATTGTTCACTAAGGAAGTTGATGTTACCCTTTTCATGATAAAACAGGAAGAAATTGAAACACTTCTTGTATTTAAAATTGACAAGGAGGAGGCATCAGATAGGTTGTCTGTCAATCGAATCAGGACCAGATGACATGTATCCATTGATTACTGAGGGAAGTGAGTGTAGAGGTTCAGGAGGCAGTTCAAACCCCTTGAGACCCAGGGATGGTGACAAAGGCCTGTAGAATTGCAAATGATACACCTTGTTCAAAAAGGAAGTAAAGATAAGCTCAACAATGACAGGTCAATCACTTTGGTGATGGCAAAGCCTCCAGAACCAATGATTCAGAATAAGATGAACGGTCGCTTGAGCAAATTGAGGTTAATTTAGAAAAGCCTTGATGGAGTTGTCATGGACAAAATTTGTTTTGCTACCTTGCTTAGATTTTTGATGCAGTAACAAAGAGCATTGTTACAGTTAATGTTGTTCATGTACTTTACATGGACTTGCAAATGCAATTGAGCAAATGTCATGCAGTAGGCTTGAGAGTGAGGTTAGAGATACATGGAATAACAGGAACAGTAGCAACTTGAAGATGAAACTTACTGAGAGATATAAGAAAGTGATTACTGTACTGGTTACTGTATGTCTTTCAGACTGCAGGAAGGTTAATATTGGAGTTTGCTCGGGATTGCTGTTACGAATCCTACATTTCCTGATTTACATAAATGATTGAGATCACAGCATAATTTTAAAACCTGCCGAGTCTTGCGTGGGCCCTGACCAGTGACAGGTTCCCTTCCCTGAAGGACATCAGTGAGCCAGTTAGGTATTTATCACAATCCAGCAGCTTTCATAGCCACTTCTTCCACATGCAAGCCCCACAAATGACCAGATTCGTTCAGCTGCATTTCACAGCCTGCCTTTGTGATTTTGTGTGCTCTCTCTCACTCTCTTTATTCTATTTTAAATTAACTTCACAGGGTGTTAGAAGCAGGGCACCTGCAATAAGGAAAATGAAACCAGTCATTACATCAGGATCAGACAGATATGCCCCATTTACTACAACCTGAATAGTAACAGATTTTGAACATGGAAGGAAAAAGCACCATGCACAGCAGAGAGAAACTGTGGAAATGTGGAGATTGTGGAGAAGGATTCCGTTATCTATCTGTGCTGGAAATTCATCACCCCCGTCACACCAGGGAGAGACCATTCAAGTGCATGGAGTGTGGGGAAGGTTTCACTTGTCATCTGTGTTACTGAAACACCAGCGAGTTCACAAAGGGGGAGAGACCTTTTAAATGCCTAGTTTGCAGGACGTGCTACAAAAGCTCCAGCAATTTAATGTTGATGAGAGACCTTTTCAATGCCTTGACTGTGGCAAGTGCTATAAAGGTTCTGGGGATCTGATGCGCCATCAACACATTCACACTGAGGAGAGGCCTTTTAAATGCCCAAACTGCGGGAAGTGCTACGAAAGTCCCAGGGTACTGATGAACTATCATCAAGCTCACACTGAGGAGAGACCTTTTGAATCCTAGACTCTGGCAAATGCTTTAAAACTTCCAGCAATCTGATCCCCCATTGACAATGTTCACACTGATGTGGGGCCTTTCAAATGCATAGACTGCAGGAAATGCTTTAAAAGTTCCCGCGATTTGATGAACCATCAACGTGTTCATTCTGCTGACAAACCTTTTAAATGTTCAGACTGTGGAAATTGCTTTAAAAGTTCTGGGGAACTGATGTCCCACCAACGTGTTCACACTAACGAGAAACCGTGTAAAGGTTTGGATTGTGTGAAGTGCTATAAACATTCTGGAGAACTGACTTCTCATCAACGTGTTCACACTGAGGAGAGACAGTTCACATGTTCTCACTGTGGGACCGGATTCAGACAATCATTTGATCTCCCTGAACAACAGCGAATTCACACTGGGGAGAGGCCGTTCATCTACTCCATGTGTGGGAAGGAATTCCCTCGGTCATGTCATTTTGTGGCACACCAGCGAATTCACACTGAGGAGAGACAGTTCAGGAGCGCTTTCTGTGGATCTGGACTCGGGCAATCATCTCATCTGACTGTGCAACAGTGGGTTCACAGTGGTGAGAGGCCATTCGCCTGCATTGAGTGTGGGAAGTGTTTTGGCGGACTTGTAATCTGCTGAGACACCAACGAGTTCACAAGTGATTTCAGGAGATGGATTTTGCTGTTAGTTACTTCCAAGACTGAACTCTGTGGATTGGTTTCCTTTTCTCCTGATGTTAACAAATTCAAACACAATTTTTGGTGTTGCCATCCTGAAGAAGAGTCAGCAAATCAGTTTTGTGTTAAACACGTAATGTGTTGAGACTTGTTAATAGCTCTGATACAATTTAACTACTTTTGTAGAACTTTCCCTATCCCTTGTCTAAAGGGCCTATATTCACCAGTTTGAGACAGACATTTTTTTTTCAAACACTAAGAAAACCAAGGTTTATGAGGAAGTGGCAGGAGAGCGGAGTTGAGAATTATCAGATCTCTCATGATCTCATTGAATGATTGCACAGATTCAATAGGCCAAATGGCCTACTCTGTTCCAACAACTCATGGATGGCAGTGTTTTTAATACATAGTGGAAGTCCCTACTATTGGCAGAATGCTGCTACACCTAATCCTGAATAGACATTCTCATTATGGACATTATAGGGAATGAACAATCATTCTGACTAACTTGATTCCCTTTTATTATGGAAGGTATTGTCGTTGTTTGTAATTCAAGCCGGAAGCAATATGCCAATTTTCCACACAAGTGCATCTTGCTCCACGAAATGGAGAATTTGACAACAGACACAATTTTCAGGGACTGAAATCCAATTGGGAGATTTAAGCATTGCCTTCTGGGATAGATGGTGTGGATTTACAAGGAAACAATACATTATAGGACTTTGTGTGGGAAAGGCAGGTACAAAATGAGACAGTAACTTGGAGGGATGGTGGGGTCAGAATGTGAATATTGTAGATTTATAACAAAGGGGATTGTATCTGTTGGAGAATGGTGAACAATGCAGCAAATAGAGAGAAGTTCAGTGGTTAGACATTTAGCAGGAATATAGCCAATGAGCAGGAAGTGAGAGTCTTGGACAAGATGAGCTCTATCAAGGCATGCCGGGAAATTGCAGAGAAAGTAGAGAAAAGTGCACATTCAGGGCTCAGATACGGAAGAACATTTAAGGCAGTTTGTCCCAGTGACCAATTGGGAGGGAGGAAACTCATGCATTCCTTGCACTTGCTGTTGGAGGTGAGGATTGAGGAGGCAGGAAAGAGGGACAGTCCATCAAAAATAACAAACTTCTGTTCAATTTTAAAATGCCTCACCACACTGTGTGATTGATACACACCTGATTTATTTGATACTCAGAATATTAGCACCTTTAACTAGGTTGGAGTTTATTAACATCAACAGAAACAGACCCCAATGAACATGGATCAGTTCTAATGTGATTAACGGCAAAATCCATCACTACAGCTACTTGTGACATCGCTGGTGTCTCACCGGATGGGTTGAATGAGCAAATTTCTTCTCACACATGGAGCATGGATATGGTTTATCCCCAGTGTGAACTCGCTGGTGTATAGTAAGATGAGATGATTGCCTGAACCCAGTGCCACAGTGAGAACACCTGAATAGTCTGTCATCGGTGTGAATATTTTGGTTGGACATCCGTACTCCCAGAGCTTTTAAAGCACTTTCCACAGTCTGGGCATTTAAAAGGCCTGCCATCCGAGTGAACCTATTGACATTTCAAGTGACCAGATCATTTAAAGCACTTCCCACAGTCTGGGCATTTAAAAGGTCTGCAATCAATATGAACACGTTGATGGCATTTCAAGTCCCCAGAATGTTTAAAGCACTTCCCACATTCGAGGCACTTAAATGGTCTTTCATCAGCATGAACATGCTGGTAGAACTTGAAATGGGTTGGCTCTTTGAATTCCTGCCCACAGTGAGAGCACCAGAATGGTCTCTCATCAGTGTCAGTACATTGATTTACAATCAGTTCTCTGGAACTTTTAAAGCACTTGTTGCAGTCTGGACATTTAAAAGGCCTCTCGTCAGTGTGAACCTCAGCCTTGAGGCCATATAACTGCATAAATCCAATTCCACATTCAGAGCAGGTGAATGGCCTCTCCCCAATGTGAAGGCACCAGTGTACCATGAGTTGAGATGATGACTTGAAGCCAGCCCCACAGTCAGAGCATCTGAATCTTCTCTCCTCAGTGTGAACATGATGGAACATCAGGTAATCAGAACTTTTAAAGCACTTCCCACAGTCTGAACATTTAAAAAGGTCTTTCTTCAGTGTGAATGCTTTGATGGGACTGCAGGTAGCTGGAACTTTTAAAGCACTTCCTGAAATTAGTGTATTTAAAAGGTATCTCCTCAGTGTGAAATCGCCGGTGTGTCAGCAGGATGGATAACTGAGTGAATCCCTTCCCACACAGGGAGCAAGTCAATGGCCTCTCCCCAGTGTGAGCACGTTGGTGAATTTTCAGTGCAGAGTGGTGACAGAATCCTTTCTCACAGTTCCCACATTTCCACGGTTTCTCCCCATTGTGACAGCATTTGTGCTTCTTGAGCCCAGTGATTGGCTGAAGCCTCTTCTGCACAAAGAATATGTGTATCTGTTCTCCTCGCTGTGAATGGTGCTTTCTCTTTCCATGGTTAAAAGCTGGTGACATTCTAGTTGTGATAAATTGACTGACTCCATCAGATTATGATGTGATATTTGGTTTCAGTTTCATGACTTCAAATCCTCCTCTTTACATACCCTGTGAAATTGATTTAAAACAAAAGAAAGGAACAGAGAGAAGCCACAAAAAATGTAAAGGCAGTTTGTGAAATTGTACTGTGTGAATCTGGCAATTTGCTGGGCTGGCACTTGGGTAAGGTGACTACGAAAGCTGCTGGATTGTCATAGAAGCTCAACAGGGGATAAAACTAATGTCAATCAGGGAAGGTACCTGCTACCTGGCTCTGGCCTCCACAAGACTGTTGGATCTGTATGTCACAGAGTACGAGAGAAAAGAGAGAGGCATGGTGAGGAAGTAGGAGAGGCAGGGGCAAAGGAGAAGGATTTTACATCTGTACAAGCTGTCCAGAAATTTGATGGGATCTCTCAACTCCTCAATCCCCGCTAGTTTAAAGGATCAGGGTAGCAGATCTATGCCAAATCCATCATCATCAATTTACTCTCCATACACACAGTCCTGACCTGTTTGATTTCTTGTACTAGAGGAGCAGAGATTTCCTTTGACAAAATATTAGGAGGATGAAAGTCAGTGCCTTCTGCCCTTGAACTGTCTGGCAGTGAAACAGACTGTTCAGAATCTTGGTACCATGTTTCCCCAAACTAAGATTCCAACCACTTGTCCATATCATCAGTAAAACCGTCTATTTCCACTACATTACCATCGTCCAACTTCGGCCCAGTCTCAGCTTATCTCCTTCGGAAACTCTTATCCATTCATGACACCAACATAGGTGTACCGAATGGATGGTGAAAAAGGTTATCCCAGACTAAAACAAGACCTTGAGCAGATGTGCTAATGAATGGCAGATAGTGTTTACTTTAGACAAATATGAGGTCCTGCACTTTGCTAAGGCAAACCAGAGCAGGAATTACACAGTTAATGATCAGGCCATGGGGAAATGTTGCCAAGGTGACCTAAGGGTGCAGATAGTGGAGTTGCAGGGAGATGGGGTGGGGAGAAAGCATTTGGCACAATTGCCTTCATTGGTCAGTGCATTGAGTACAGAAGTTGGGTGTCATGTTGTAGCTGTACAGGGTATTAGTAAGGCAAGTTTTGGAATAATATATGCAAGTCATGTGCAGAAAAGATTTACAAGATGTTTCCCGATGGGGAGAGGTTGAGTATGCTGGTGCCTTTTTCCCTGGTCCGTCAGAGTCTGAAGGATGTCCATACAGAGGTTTATAAAGTCAAGGGGACATAGAAAAGGTGAATAACGAAGGTCTTTTATCCAGGGTAGGGGGATCCAAAACGAGAGGTCGTAGTTTTAAAGTGAGAGGGCAAAGAGTTAAAATGGACCTGAGGGTCAACAGTTTCACAGAGAGGATGACCATGGATGGAACAAGCTGTCAGAGGAAGTGGTAAAGGTGGATAAAATTGCAATATTTAAAAGGCATCTGGATAGGGAGATGAATAGGAAGGGTTTAAATGGACAGGGGTAAACATGGGCAAATGGAACTAGTTCAGTTTAGGATATGTGATCAGCATGGATGAGTTGAATGGAAGGATTTGCTTCTGTGCTGTATGACTCTATGACTCATTCCATTATTATCTGTAGAATTATCAATCTTAACACCTCCCACATTCAATCTCCCTGTAATTGAGCTCACCCACACTCTGCTGCCTGTTTCTTTACTCACACCAACTCTTGCTAAGCTGTCCACAGTGACATCACAACATTCTCCTACAAGATGGCTGCCCTTTGAAGATGGCATCCCTGATGCCTGCACACACCCTGTTCTCTCATCACCATGTCAGCCGTAAACCTTGGCTTATCCCTTGGATAAAGAACCAGATGTCCCAATGAGGGGCCTGGATGTTCTTTTTTGGGGGTTGAGGCATGGTGTCTTGGGTCTGCACAAACAAGTGATCAACACAAAGGATGTGAGACTCCATGAGTTATTTGAAAGGAGATTCATCAGAATGGTTCACGGATTGAGGGATATTAGTTGTAATGTCAGGCTGGAGAAATGCAAGTTATACTGCATGGAACAAAGGAGATTGGGGTGAGATTTGTTAAAGGTGTCGAGGGTTATGATAGCTTTCGGTAATATAGGTAAAGGCCAGCTGTTCCCCAGAGCTGATGGTGAAAGTTTTTGGGACACAGAATTAAGGTTTGGGCAAGAGTTTTTTTTTAATTTGTGGAATGTAGGCATTGCTGACTGCCAGCATTGTTGCGCATCCCTTGTTGCCCATGAGAAGGTAATGGCGATCTGCTTCTTAAACTGCTGCAGTCCACCTTCTGTGGGTTGACCCACAATGGCATTAGGGAGGGCATCCAGGATTTTGATCTAGCAACTGAAGAAATGCCAGTATATTTCCAAGTCAGAATGGTGGGTGACCCGACAGGAATTTGAATGTGATAGTGTACCCATATATCTACTGCCTTTGGCCTTCCAAATTGAAGCGATTGTTTCGAAGGTGTGTCTGAGAAACTTTGGTGAACTCTGTCTCTGACTCTCCCCTCTCAAAGACTTAATTCCAAATCTGTCTCCCACATCTCTTTCCTCCATTCCCAGTTTTCTCCCTTTCTCCCTCTGCCTGTCTCCAGTTCTCCAGTTCCTGTCTGCAGACTGAGAATCAGATCAATGAGCCAATCAGTCCTGACGAAGGGTTTCGGATGGAAACGTTGACTTTCCTGCTCGTTGGATGCTGTCTGACCTGCTGTGCTTTTCCAGCTCTACATTTATTGAGTCAGTCATTGTCTGTCCTGGTCACATGAGCCGTAGAGTTGCTGTCCACTAGTTATGTCACCAAGCCGGCCACACGTGCATGGACTTCTCTGAAACAAGATGGTGGCCGTGAACAAGGCCATGAGCATGAGGAAATAATAGCAACACGGGACCTGCGGGGTTTTATTCGATGATTGTGGTCGACAGTAGGTGTTTATGGACCCTTCCTGCTATTTTGCTCGTCATACTTACTGGCTGCCGAGAGATAAACCGATTAACTCCCATCGCCAATATCAGCCTCGCACATGCTCAGAACATAGTGCAGCACTGCGCAGCCCCATTGGTCACTGTTGTCAGATTAGAGGACATTCAACACTGCAGGGGCTTCTGGGTAAATCTACCATTGTTCAATTTGTTAGATAATACTTATTCAGTGGGGCTGAGAGTGTCATCGATTCCGCTCAATTTCCAGTCCTCATGGTCTGCAGTCTCCCAGGTGGAGCTTTGCCGCTGCTGTGTTTTGTGGTTCTTCAGCTGCAGAGAAGCTGTTTTCACTTATTGAGCTATTCTGGGCCATTAATAGAGGAAAAGTACGTGTGTTAATTTCTTTGAAAACATGATAGAAAATATTGAATATTATGAACGTCTAAGTCTCTCAGAAATTGAATATCTGAGTAGCAGTAATTTATTTGATTATTTTTAAATGTTTTTTTTAATCAGTCCTGTTTCTCTCATTGTTTTTGCGATTCAGATTCAGCATCCAGATTCAGCACAGACTTTCCTCCTCCTGATGCCCTGTACTTCTCCTGACAGGTCTTGTTGGCGCCGAGGGATTCATTGTCCTGGAAACTCACAGCAAGAAGAGTGAAGGAGTAAATGGGGGTTCTGTTAGTGGTTCCAGGGTCTGAGGTCTGGAGCCTGAGTTGACTGGGCAAGTGAGTCACTGTAAACCACTGTTAAATAATTTTTCCACAAAATTTAAATCAAAACTCATTTTACCAATAAAACAATTTAAAGTGGATTAATAGTTTCACTCATTGAAATTCTGGGGCACCAATTAGGTCCTTGGAAAACATGAACTGGGGGTAACCTTGGGCAGGAAGAGAACCAGAAACCAAAACTGAACAAGAGACTGAGTTTTACTCCAGCACACAATAAGACTGTGGCTGGTTGTGGCTAATTTGAACATACAGGTAGCTACAGCATGTTGAAAAACACAGGTCTCATTATTTTACAAATAGAAGATATAGAAAAGCTGGAGTGCAATCTGCATTATGTATTAAAATCCGGAGTTTTATGTTGTCAGGTTCCATTTCTTAAATTTTCAAACATTTGCAGACTATTTATGAATGTTATGAGGTAGGGAATTGAGCTGAATCACTATCAATTTTTTCTATATCTTGTTTGTAGATTGGAATCTTTCCTCCTTAATTTGATCACAAATTTTCTTTCTTTATTTGTACAACTTGTGAAAAGAATATAAAAAAGTAGTTTATTTTGTTTTCAGTTAAGGAAGGAGGGAGCGTGTGTGGGATGGGAATTTACAGCTTTGGGGGAAAAGAAGAGGAAAGAAATGTTCCAAGAAACTAGAATTTTCTGTTCTAAATTTTTAATCTGGACTGTTTTTTATAAACTACTTTTCACGGGGATATGGAAAGATTTCTAAATGGGCAATCAAGCCCACTTCAAGATCTGACAGGATTTTTAAATTTATTGGGATCTGCATGTCATCGGTCTTTAAATGTGGAGAGCAAAGTGACTGAAAAATCACCAAACCTCACAAAATAAGAATGAGAGTCCGTGAATGGACTGTGGAAAGACCTTTATCCAGTTACACAGCCTGGGTGACAGTGCTCCACTGAACTGACTGTTGAAAGAGGTTTGCCCAGTTACACAGTGTTTAAAAAAAAAGTACAGCATTCACAATGGGTGAACCCATATATGTGTTCTGTATGTAGACAAAATTTCAACTGATTGTCCAACATAGAAAAACACAAAAAACACCGACACCATGGAGAAACAGTGGAATTGTGGGGACTGTAGGAAGGGATTCAATTACCAATCCCAGCTGGAGATTCACCAACACAGCCACACTGGGAAGAAGCTGTTCATGTGCCCCATGTGTGGGAGAGATTCACATCATCATCAATGTCACAAATCTACCAGAGGGCTCACAGCGGGGAGAAGCCATTAACCTGCTCCATGTGTGGGAAGGGGTTAAATTTTCTGTCCAGACTTCTGCTGAGGTGCCAACGGGTTCACATTGATGAGAGGCTGTTCAACTGCTCTGATTGTTAGAAGAGATTTAAAAGGCAAGAGGATCTGGTCAAACAGCAGCTCGTTCACACCAAGAGATGGTTGAGTTGCTCTTACTGCAAACACTCTTGGACCCTGATAAAGTAACATCAGGTTCACGCTGGGAAGAGACTGTTCACTGCTCCATGTGTGGGTAGCAATTCACTCAGTTATCTCACTTCAGTTCACACCAATGTGTTCACACTGATGACAGATGTTTCAAAAGTTCTGAATGTGAGAAGGCCTTTAATACGACAGGTGATCTGCTGAGACACAGCGAATTCACACGGGAGAGGCTGTTCACTTGCTCCATGTATTGGAAGTGATTCACTCAGTCATGCCACTTACGGAACACCAACGTGTTCACAAGTGACTGCAGGGGATGGATTCTGTTGGGGCTGCTGCTGTTCATTACAAGCGAGTTCATTCTGACAGCTGGCACTTTATTTGTGTTGATGTTGTTAATCCCGTAACTGAGCTGGAATTTAATTACTCGAACAGGTCACAATACAGAAATGTCATTTGAAACAGTGTGTCAGGTCCTTAATTTCTCCATGTTGCAATGACAATAAATCCAGTTGATGACTTTTTGGCGTTTTCACCTTTCTAACGCTGGAGTTTTTCTATTCTCATACTTCAGTTCCTCTTTGGATAAGTCCCAACTTGCAAGCCTTGCAGAATGTGTTTCTTAATCTTGTTATCCAGCAAAGGTGTTGGTAATACTCCCGGAATCAGTAAAACAAAACCTGGTCCTTCTATCATTTTCGGCAGTGAGACATAATGTGTGTCCCATAGCAAACATCAAATAAACCAGTAATACAACGGAATTTGCTGGAAAAGCTCAGCAGGTCTGGCAGCAGCTGTGGAGAGAAATCAGAGTTAACGTTTCTGCTTCGGTGACTCTTCCTCACAACCCCTGACCTGAAACATGAACTCTGATTTCTCTTCATAGATCCTGCCAGACCTGCTGAGCTTTTCCCGCAACTTCTGTCTTTGTTTCAGATTTACAGCATCTACAATTCTTTTGGTTTTTAACAACAAATCAGTTTTGTGTTTAACACACAGAGTAGAATCTTTCCAGCCCCTGCATGATGTGGGCAATGGTGAGTCAGTTGGCAAGATATGCTGAAAGCCCAGAAATCAGATTCTCAATGTCAGGGGGTGAAAAGTCAGATTTTCCACCCAAGGATTTAGTGGAGGGATGAGAATTTTGCTGGTAAGTGGTGAGAGTCTTATTTGCAAGTGCTTACACTTCATTATTATCTATTCTCACTTGATATATTTGCAATTTGACATTCTCCCATTTGGCAGAGAGAAACTTCATACTGACAATTTCTAACATGTAAGTTACAGCAGGTACTTAGCTGCCCCAAGCTTGTTCCTCTGGATCTCCACATCGACAGTGTTCCTCAACATTTCAGAAAATGCTCCTTGGGCAGCGAATGCCTCCATCTTTCATCTTCTGAGGTTGACACCAGAAACATACCAGCCTCCCCACCCTCCCAAGGCACATCCCTGATTCATTGAGAGAACAGTTCCCACTTCGCTTTGGAGCATACCAGAAGAGCTCTGTGGAAATGTGTGGAAACTCAGAACTGATAAGGTCAACAGAGATCTCAAGAAATAGAAAAGAAATGAAGTTTAAGGGGATTGCCTTGATTAAAGGCTGAGATGTGATGCAATCTGCATTTGATAAACAGCTTCTGCCACACCTAGAGTGGACAGAGTCACTAGTTTTCCTGACTGAGGCTCTACTGCTGAGCAATGTGAGACTCTTTTAGGGGCAAACAGCACTAATCAGACACTGACACAGAACAGGTTAAAGAGATTTGTAATCACAGAATTCTGCATGTGAAACCAATGCACTTTTCAACTGTGCAGTCCTAGCCACAAACAATATTAGCCATGTCATTGATTATTCAATGTTAATCACAGTTATCTCTGTGAAGCAGAAGTAATCTCAGATTAAACATATATTGTCTTTCCGCAGAGGTAAGGGAGCACAAACCAATCAGCCATGGTCTTATTGAATGGCATAGCAGGCTTGAAGGGCTGAATGCCCTACATTTCCTAATTTGTATGTTTGCAGGTTGGCAGCGAGTACCTCACTACCTGGTTTCCAGGAGCAGCATCCCTGGATGCACCACAGTGACTGACCAAAGCTCCTTAGGTAGCAACTTCCAAACCCATGACTCGATCACATAGAAAGGCGAGGACACCAGATGCTTGGGAATACCAGTGTCCACAATTTCCCCTCCAAGTCACACACCATCCCGACTTGGAAATGCATCGTGGTTCCTTCACTGTCGCATGGCCAAATTTGTAAGGCTCACTCTTTAATCATCTGTTTCTGACTTGAGACTAATTAGTACAATTGATTAATCGCAGGATGTCATCCTCAATTAAATATTAGGCTCAAATTTCATTTTATTAGTTTACATCAGTCAAAATGTGACTATTCAGGTGATGGTCAAGTTCTATTGAAACTTATTACCCAGGCCAATTTACTGGTGTCTGAAGATCTTTGCTTATCTCACGTGCATCTTGCTCTCATGCTGACATTTCTGTTCTCAGGTCATTGCACTCTTCCAGTGATGGTAAACATAAGCTTCAAGAAAGCAGCGCATTTTTCAATTCAACACTTCACACCTTCCTGGACTCACCTGTAAGACCAACAATTCCAGCCTGGGAACTCTGCCCCCTATTTTGTTTTCTTTCCTTGTTTCAGTTTGTTTCTTTGTCAGTTACACAACTGCTTCAGGCATATCTTTTGTTTCTTTTACAGCCCCAACTCCATTCCCCATGGTGCCGAGAGGCTAATTAATGTTTTCTTTCCTGTTGGGCTACTATTTAGGATGTCGTGCTCTCATCACAGTAGCCTGGGTTTGATCCTCAGTCAGGGAGGGGGGATTCATTGTTTTTGTTTGGACTGTTAAATGACCAGGAATGTTTCATGCTGATAACAACAAACAGAGAGCACCTTTGCCAGAACCACTCTGGGTTTACATCAGAGATGAAACCATCATGCTGGACCGGGAACAAATCACATATTTGTCTACTCCTGAGTATTTAGCTTCTCCTAAATACTGACTGCAGGACTACATAAACCGTGTTCCTTATTGAAACACACAAGAATCTTAGGGTGCTTGACAGCTTGAATGGGTAAATGTTGTTTCCCCTTTTCGGATAGTCTATTGACCAGCGGGAAGAATTTCAGAATAATGGTCACAATTTAAAACAGAGATTAGGAGGAATTTAAGATAGAGGTGAGGAGAAATTTCTTCTCTCTGAGGGTTGTCTGTGGAATTCTTTACCACAGAAGACTGTCAAGTCTGCCTCATTCAGTCCATACAAGGATGTGACAGATTTTTAATCAGTAAGGAACTCAAGGATGATAGAGAAATGCAGGAAATTGGAGTTGACAATTATCAGATCACCAACTTTCTAATTGAAGAGACGATGACTCAAAGCCTGAAAGTACATTTCAGTGGAGTGGGTCAGAAAGTAACAGAGTAACTGCGAATAATATGTTGGAAAGTTCCATCAGAGATAGAGGTGATCTTGAAGCAGCCATCTGAGGACAAATGTGTTTTCTTTGCTTGTGAAATTCACCACTTCTCAGAATGGGGACCAAAGAAGTGAAGCAGTGATGGTGATGTCCCTGTTACACCACAACTCTGTAGCATGTTGGCATTGGCCATGGATGGGGCCTGTATTGCAATAAATTATGCATCTGACTACAGATCGGTATTTTGCAGTTTCAGCTCCTACCTGGCTCTAGTGCAATTCACAGCTTTTCTATCAGCAAATGTCACCGAGAATATCAGACTTCTGAAATTGGGTTTTGGAAACTGGAAGTTGCACATGAGCAGCTTGTGGGAGGATTTCACCTTCCCCTTCTCTGATGATGCTGGGACATTGACTCTGATGTTCTTGATCTGACATTCGAAGGATCCTCATTCCTGCACATCAGGAATTCAGATCTCATCTCCACTTGAGAGTATTGAGAAAACTTACATGAGACCTGCACTGGAGTCTCTTATTGGTAATATACTGGAGTTCTTGTTAAATACAGAACTTGATTGTATTTTCTGTTAACTTGATTCAATAGTCAGCTAAACCAAGGATTTTGTGAGCTGTCATTACATCATTGACCTTAATGGTGACCCAGGGAGTAGTGGGGCTTGAGAATCAGTGCACTTTCCCAAGTGCATTATAACATTGGCTTGCATTCTCTCAGAGAGTCAGAGAGTCATCTTGCACAGAAACAGACCTGTTGGTCCAACCAGTCCATGCTGAACATAATCCCAAACTAAACCAGTCCTGCCTGCCTGCTACTGGCCCATTTCTCTCCAAACATTTCCTGTTCATGTACTTACCTAAATGTCTTTTCAACATCATCACTGTGTCCACATTCACCCCTTCCTCAGGAAGTTCATTTCACACACGAACCACCCTCTGTATAAAAAACATTACCGCTCATGTCTTTTTTCAATCTTTCTCTTCTAATGTAAAATGTATGTCCCATGGTCTTGAAATCCACCATGCCAGATAAAAGACAATTACCATTAACCCTATGTGCACCCCTCATGATTTTGTAAACATCTATAAGGTCACCTCTCAACCTCCTATGCTCCAGTTGAATCAGTCCCAGCATATCCAGCCTTTTCCTAAAACTCAAACCTTCCATACCCTGCAACATCCTGGTAAATGTCTTCCGAACCCCCTCTAGCTTAATAATACTCTACTTTCGCCGATTTCTTTATAATCATTCTTTGGTGGTCCTTCAAATTTGTCCAACCTTCGTAAGTTTGTACACTGTTCTTTTCAATTTGATAGTGCTCTTAACTTAACTATTTAGTCACTTTTTGACTGGGATATATTGTTGCTAAGAGTTAGTAAATATCTTTTTAAAGGTTTGCCACCATACCATTACTGACGAACCTAGTTTCTCCATTTGCTTTATTTAGTTCTGCCTTTATACTCTCATACTTACCTGTATTTAGATTTAAAATGCTACTCTTATTTATGTAAAAAAATCCTGAAACCTGCTTCGCGTAGAGTCACACTTTCATGTCCCTGACCGTGGACAAAATAAGAGGAGCATACCTGAGGAGCTATGACTGTCACCTGGAACAAACTGTCTGGATAACTTTCTCCTTGATGTATTGCAGTGCTTGTATTACAGCCTCCAGTTCGGCGATTATGAGCTGAGGTTCCTCTAGCTACAGATACTTGGTGAGGGCATGTCCAGTGTCCAGGACTTCATTGTGAAGTCACAATACATCACCTTCACTGCCATCTTGATTGGCCTCGAAAATTTATGATATTACTTAGGCAATTTTACGTAAAATTTACTATCTTTTGTCTTGTATCTATTTATGTTCTTATTATCAACCATGGGTGCAATCAACCCTGGGAGAGGATATTTATTAGCTAATTGTGGAGAGGGATTCACTTGGCCATCCCATTTACCAAAACAGAAGCACTGGCAAAGAGGCAGACAGTTCTGACATTGGGAGTGCAAAAGGATTTACTCAAGTTTCCTAACTTCAAATCTGCAAACTTTGAAACTTCAATGGATTTCTTCCATAATTGCCACATTCAAACAGGAGAAAGGTTATTTTAAATGAGTTTAAAATGAGCAATGATTCATTTATTCTTCTGCTTCTTCAAGGTTCCCATGACTGCAAAAGAAAACTAGTAGCTCATTGATTACAGTCTCATTTTGCATGCAAGGTATGGAGAATTGAAACCAGACAAGATAGAGTGAAGAAAGAGACTGTAAGTGGAAGAATGAAGTTATATAAATGCTTCAAGCATTTGGATTTAAGCCGAAGAAGGAGCTAGAGTATGTGAGACCAAGATGAACAGATTAACTGCAATGATCTGTTGAAATTTCAAGGTCCCATGATCGAGCACTACTGCTGCACATAGATCTCAGCGGTAAGCTGAGAAAAAAGAAATGAGCAGCAATGCTGTTAGGGAACAAAGAGGGTGGTGGTGAATAGAACCAGCGTCCTCTTGAATTTTCATTCTGGCTCTGCAAGCCTCCAAGGGTAGTGCACGGTCATGACTTCTGAAATTGGAAATCAATGCCACAGTCAGAGCAGCTAAACTTGGAGCGACTGCACACACACAGTTTAGAAGAAATGTGAAATTGCACAACAGTGTTTTGGGAGATCACACATTTCCACGTAAAGGTTGGAATGAATGTACAAAGCTGGTCAGGAATGCAATGGAATCGTCAAGTCCAAGGATGACACGGTCACAGACGAGGGTTCCAGCAGCAGATAAGCTGGGCTGGGGTGGAGATGGCTGACATTATGGCGTTGAAATATCTGGTTAGACTGACGATGTGGTGTTTGCGGTCGGAACTTCATCTTGAGGATAAAATTATGACTGAGATTATGAACAGTGTGGTTCAGTCTCATTGACAGGGAAGAGGGATGGACCCAGGAGTTTGAGAATGGAATGTGCAGCTGTAACTGAAGACAATTGATTTGTCTTCCAAACATTTAGTTCGAGGACATTTATGTTCATCCAACATTTAGGTATGGGATAATTTAATTACTATGGAGGACTGGACAGGTATGGTGGAGAGGTAGAGCTGGTAGTTGTCAGTGACCACGTGAAAACTAACACAGTGCATCTGGATGTCAACTAGGTGTAGTGTGTAGATGAGAAATAGGAGGACCAATGATATCTCATTGAGGGGACACCAAGTTCAAGTCTAATAATTTTTTAAAAAAGAATTGGTGAATGTGAAGATTTTAGGGACAGTACGAGGAGAGTGAACTGTTAACAATATTAGTGTGCATCTGTAGTGAGAATAGGGTCAGTGGAACAAAAGTGGGTCTCGTGGAAAGACAAGCTCTGACAGAAGAGAAACTGGAGAAAGCTGTGGGCTCAAGGGTCAGGCAAGGAGGAACTGGACAGGCAGTTTTTTTCAGGGAGTTAATGGAAGGGAGGGAGCAGCAGAGGCAGCTGATCGGATTGTCTCAATCTTAGTGGCAACAAAGCTCCTTGAAGTCCTTATACTTGTTGGAGGGAAGAGAGGAGAGGGAGAGCCTTCAAAAGGGACTCACTTGTGTAAGAGGTATTAAAAAAAATACTAAACACACCGGGTTTAAGACAAAGCTAATTCATGTGAAATTTATTTTGAATATTCTCACCTAAAACTGTTCTGGAATTTATGAACGTCAGGAGAAAAAAAACAAATGAGAAACGGATGGGTCCAGCAATTAATTAACAGCAAATCCAACTGCTGCAGCCACTAATGAACACACTGGTGTCTCGGAAAATGGGATGTCTGAGTGAATCTTCCCACACTCAGAGCAAATGAACAGCCTCCCCATCGTGTGAGCTCATTGGTGTTTACAGTGAGGGCAAATGATTGCCTGAACCCAGTCCTGCACTGAGAGCACTGGAATGGTCTCTCCTCTGGCTGTGAATATATTGGTGGGAAATCAAATCATTGAGATGTCCAGAGCACTTTCCCCAGTCTGGGCAGTGGCAGCTGATCAGATTGCCTCAATCTCAGTGACAACAAAACTCCTTAGACTTCTTGATAAAGGTGAGGATAGAGGGGAGAGGGAGAACAATTCAAAAGGGAATCACCTGTGTTAGAGACAATAAGAAGATGATTCACTGTGTTTTACACAAAGCTGCTTTATTTGACATTTATCTAGATTAACATATGACTAGACAGGTGGTTATTAACATCAGCAGAAACAGACAGCAATGAACATAGTCCATTTTGAGATGTGATTAAGAATAAAATCCAATCATTGTGGTTAGTTGTGAATTCTCTGGTGACTTAGCAGATGTGACACCTGTGTGAATCCCTTCCCACAACTGGGACAGGTGAATGGCTTTTCTCCAGTGTGAATGTGCTGGTGTCTCAGCAGGTGGGATGATTGACTGAATCCCTTTCCACAGTCAGAGCAGGTAAAGGGCTTCTCCCCCGTGTGAACACGCTGGTGTATTAACAGGTGGGATGACTGAGAGAAGCCCTTCCCACAGTCAGAGCAGGTGAATGACTTTTCCCTAGTGTGAACACGATGGTGTACAGTGAGGTAAGATGATCGTTTAAATGCAGCTCCACAGTCAGAGCACCTGAATGGTCTCTCATCAGTGTGAACACGTTGATGGAGCATCAGCTCCCCAGAACTTTTGTAGCACTTCCCACAGACTGGGCATTTAAAAGGTCTCTCCTCAGTGTGAACTCGCTGGTGTGTCACCAGGTTTGATGAATTGATAAACGTCTTCCCACACTCTGTGCAGGTGAATGGCCTTTTCCCAGTGTGAACTCTCTGGTGTCTCAGCAGGGTGGATGATTGAGTGAATCCTTTCCCACATTCAGAGCAGGTGAATGGTTTCTCCCCAGTGTGAACTCTCTGGTGTATCAACAGGGTAGATGACTGAGTGAATCCCTCCCCACACTCAGAACAGGTGAATGGCCTCTCTCCAGTGTGACTACGCCGATGAATTTTCAGCTTTGATGGATGAAAGAATGCTTTCCCACAGTGCCCACATTTCCAAGGCTTCTCATCAGTATGAATATGTTTATTTTCTGACAGGCCAGTTGAATGGTTAAAGACTTGTTCACACATTGAACCAGTGTATGGTTTCTCCCCGCTGCATAAGGTGCTTTCTCCTTCCATGTTCAACATTGAGTGACATTCAGGTTGTGATATGTTTGGCAACTCTCTCAGATCCTGACGTAATGCTCGAGTTTAGTTTCTTGACTGAAAAACTTCCTAAAAACTCTGTGAAACTGATTTAGACAGAAGAAAGGGAGTGAGATATAAACAACAAAATCAAAAACGCAGGTTGTGACATGTGAACTCAATGAAGCTCATAATTTTTAGAGTGGAAGTTAAAAGCAGTGCAGTAGAAACAATTTCTGACCATTAACGATTCTGTGAGAAGGTAAAGTTGGTACATCAGCAGCATACAATCAGGAGATAAGCAGTGGTGGAAACCTAATATAGGCACAAATAACAAAAGTAACAGTAAGTCACAAAACAGAGCTAAAATACAAAAATTATCAGGGACTGAGGAAGTTAGGCAATGACTGAGGGGAAACTCAGGAGGGGAGACATGAAGTAGAGCAATGGATGGACGTGGATTCAGATCGAGCATAAAGGAGCCACGCTATCTCCAGACCATGCAATCTTTCACTGATAACAGAACACAGCATGAAAAGCTCGAACTTGCTCCAGAATAATCAAAAATGCTCAGCTCTGAAAAAAATTCACTGCTTTCAATATTAGAGTCTCTTGGAGCTTGCAACTGGGATGATGTCAGAATCTCTCGAAACAGAGGATCCAATTTGACACATTACCCTGTATCCCATGCGTTTTTTCTTTTGACCAGTCTGCCTTGTCAGACTTTATCAAATGCCTTAATAATATCCATGCAGACAACATCCACTTCACTACCCACATCAATATTCCTTGTCAATTCCTTAAAGAATTCAAACAAATTTGTGAAGCATGACCTTGCCTTAACAAAGCAATGGTATCCCTGACTTGTCCCCGGATTTCGAAGTGACATATTAGCTGACATCTCATGACTGATTCTTAGAAATTTTCCATCACCAAAGTAAGACTGACTGGCCTATTGTTGTTTTGCAATTGCTTTGTACCCTTTTAAAAGAATGAAACCATGTTTGGATTCCTCCAGTCCTCCGGAAAATAATCCTCACAGCGCCAGTCATTTCCTCCGCAACCTCCTTCAACATCCTAGGGAACTATTCATCTGGATCTGGTGATTTATCCACTTTCAATGATTCCAATTCCTCTAACACTTCCGGTCTCATTATGAGCATTTTGTCTAATATTTCACACTACTCCTCTTGGATCACTTTCTCCACATCGTTCTTTTCTTCTGTGAGCCCTGCAGTTGGAGTGTCAAAACCTAACGGTGCCATCAGATTTCGTGTTGCTCTGCAACAGGGGAAAGAAGCAGGAGTGAAAGGATATCATCCACTTCCTACTGTGGACAAATCCTTATGGAGATGTCAAGAAATGACATCTTCTGCAAGTTTGACTCAAAACAAGGACAGTGCAGCTGGAGCTTCCTCCAGATTCACGGAGAGTGACAGCATTTGTCCCTGACTGTGGATTTCACCAACACAAGAGATTGCTGTTTCCCTGCAACCAGAATAATATTTCTTTGTGAAGGAGACCAAACTTGCACACACACTCCACTCGTGTCCTCACAGAACCCTCCACAGCTGCTGTAAGACCACTCTTCTCCTGTACACAAATCTCTTGCAATGAAGGACAAAGTTCCATTTGCCTTCCTAACTGCTTGTTGCACCTACATGCTTGCTTTGAATGGCTGGTGTACAAGTATACCCGGGTCACTTAGTACATCAACATTTCCAAATCTACCACTGTGTAAATTATATTCTGCCATTCTGAGTTTTCAACAGAAGTGGATAACTTCGCACTGATACTGCGCCTACCAAGCATTTGCTGTTCACGCAAATGGTCGAAATCACCCTGATGCCTCTTGTGTCTTGCTCACTCACAATCCCCCTAGCTTTGTGTCAACAAACTTGGAAATATTACATTGGATTCCATCACCCAAATCGTTGATGTATACTTTGAATAGCTGGTGTCTAAGGGTGGTGATCCTTGCAGTGTCCTAATTATCAAAGCCTGATGCTCTGTAAAAGTTTCATTTGTTTCTGCTCTCTGTTTCCAGACTGCTAACCAATTCTCAATCCATACCAGTACATACTTAACAATTCTTTGATTTTGCACACTAAACTCCTATGTGTAACTTTATCAAAAGCTTTTGGAAAATCCAAGTGATCCCATCAACTGGTTTCACTGGTCACATCTTCAGAAAAACTTCACACATGGTCCGTGGCAGCACTTTCTCCAGGGCACCTGAGATGGGCAAAAAATGCTGATCCAGGCAGCAATACCCACATCCCACTTTGGACCTCTGTTCAGCAATGCCTGAATTTTAAAATTCCCATTCTCGATTTCAAATTCCTCCATGGTCTTCCACTCTCTATTTGCACATGCTCCATATATTTCCCTACGGACAGGACAGACAAACCTCAAACACACATGAACATCACTCAGAGATAATAAGAACTGCCGATGCTGGAGTCAGAGATAACACAGTGTGGAGCTGGAGGAACATAGTATGTCAGGCAGGATCAGACGAGCAGGAAAGCTGACGTTTCGGGTCGGGACCTTTCCTCAGAATAAGGGGTCCCGACCCGAAACGTCAACTTTCCTGCTCCGCTGATACTGCCTGAACTGCCGTGTTCCTCCAGCTCCACACTGTGCTATGAAAGGCTGAACATATTCACCTTCTGATTCATCCAATGACTTTTTCAGCACTTGGTCCGGTTCTTCTTTCCAAAGAAAATGCACAAACCCAGTGCTGTTGCATAACCTGGTGGAAAATGAAAGGAAGCAGTTTTCTAAACTATTCTCCCCTCCCCCAATCATTAGCTGGAGGGCAGCGCAAAACCATGCGGGCCCACTGTCTGGGTCAGGCGCAGTGCCACTGCCGCCAGCGGTCGAGCTCAATCTGTCTCTTTTTGGAGCAGCAGCCCTGGGAGCGGAGGGGGAAGGGCAGCTTTGGCTCTGGCCCGATCTCGCAGCCGGTTGCCCTGGAAACCTTGGCTCCAGGAGGGGGCAGAAGAAACAATGGATGGGGGCGAGGCTCTCGTATCCGAGCGCCTGGCCTGCTGTCTGGAACCTGAAGACGTCCCCGACACGCTCAGCGATTTCTAGTGGCTGTTTCAGACAAGCCCCACCCCTCCACTGTGAACTTCACAACGCAATGTTGTCCTCAGAGTGAGACTTGCTGCTTTGCGCAACATCTGGGAACAAAGCAATGTCTCCGCCACTCCTTTAAATTTCTTGTCTCAGCCTGTGAGAGGGGGTGGGGGGTGGATACTGTTTACGCGCAGCAACTGTAGGGAGAGAAAATGAATCCAGGGAGGGAGCATGCTCCGGAAAGTTTGGTTCAGGTATGTCTCTTAAATTTACAGTCACTATTTGTTCTCAACTTCACATATTTATTTGCCTGGCTAAGAGTGGCCTTTTCACTCATGTTCACAACAATAGGACTTCTATCGGAGATGGACAGGATTTAAAGGGTAGTACATTAATTAGCAAATAAGCCCAAAAATCAATTTTCCTTCTTCACAATTTGTAACACCATGCGTTAGAAAATGTCTTTTGAGGTCTAACTGTGGAGCGAGCAACATTAGTCGAAATTGTCTTGCAAATAAAACCAGGTCTGTGTCACATAGTACACTGATGTAAACAATGAAATAGACTTCCCTCACCAGCTGATCTACAAAACATCAATCTTTTGGTTAACAGCCAAATGCAATGACCAATTCCCCTGTCCAAATATGTCACTTCTTGCTGATCCAGATTGAATTCTATTAACAACTGATCAGCCAATCTGATCAGCCTCTATAAATCCTCCTGTAAGTTAAGGATACCCTCCTAACTATTTACCACCCATTTGTATCATCTGCAAACTAACTGATTAACCATTCAATTCTAAATCATTTATACAAACCAAAAACAGCAAAGGCTCAACACTGACCACTGTGGGACCCCTTTGGACACAGACTTCCAGTCAGTCAAAAAACACCCATCGAACATTACCCTCTGAATTCTGCCACTCAGCTGACAGTGGATTAAATTTGCTAAATTTCAGTGGATTCCATGGGCTATTACCTTTGCTATCAGTCTCCCATGTGGGACCTTATCAAAAGCCTGGCTGACATCAACAGACTACATCAAAAGCATTGCCCGATTGCCACACCTCATTAAAAAATTGAATCAAGTTGGTCAGGCATGAACTCTCCTTGAAAATGCGTGTTGACTATTCTTGATTAATACCAGCCTTTCTGATGTAAATTAATTCTGTCCCTCAGACTACGCAAAACCTTCTCTCTCTTTGTGCTAATTTCTTTAAATTCTATCCCTGAATCGTCTCTCTCACTAGTGAACACTGACACAAAGTATTCATTTAGGACCATTCCAGAAAAAAAAAGACCTTCATCCTGTGGTTCCACGCACAGTTTCCACTGCAGTCCTATATGGGCTTTACTGTTTCCCCCCTTACCCTTGAACCGTTAAGGTATCTGTAAAACAACTGAGCATTTTCCTTTATTTTACCTGGCTATATCAATTCATGTTCCCCTTGTAGCTTTCCATATCTCCCCATTAAAATTCCCTCTTGCTCATTTAGGTGAAAGTGTCTGTTCCTTGCTCCCTCTCGCCAAGTCATTTCTGGTCTTACTAAATCAACCAATTTGGAACTTTGATTTGAAGGCCATTCTTGTCCCTTTCCATAACAACCCTGAATCTTTCAAAAAGAGTTCTGATAACTATCTACAAAATGCTCCCACACTGATACTTCACTAACCTGTCCGTCTTTATTACCTAAAGTCCAGGACTTCCCCTGTCCTTATTGGGACTTCTACATTTTGGCTTAAAAGCCATTTTTTATCTATTTTAAAAGTTCATCTAAAACTTTCAGAGTATGATGACCACAGTTAATGTTGGGGAAGTTGAAATCCCCTGTAATTACAACCTTATCACGTTTACACTTCCCGAAAATTTGCCTCCTGACCAGCTCTTCTACTTCTATTCATATAGGTTTATTTCAGGAGTTTTCCAAGATGTCATCTCTTCTTATTGGTGCAACAAATTCCCTGAATGTAATTGTGACACCTACTCCTCTTTTGCCTCCTTCGCTGTCTCAAATGAAGATTCTGGGTCCAATCCTGCCTCTCTCTCAACCATGTCTCAGTGACAGCAATGTCATCATGCCCCCATGTTTTAATTTGTATCATTAACTCATCTGCCTTGTTGTCAAACTTGTAGCATTAAAATCAATGCCATTCAACCATGTCAAACTCCCTTGTACCTGAGATAACAAGGTGTAGAGCTGGATGAACACAGCAGGCCAAGAAGCATCAGAGGAGCAGGA